AAAACTTAAATTTTGATCTGATCCAAGATTCTGTGATGGCCAATCAAAACTTAAATTTTGATCTGATCCGAAACTCTGTTGATGGCAACTCAAATCTTAAATTTTGATCTAATTCAGGACTCTGTGATGGCTACTCAAAAGTTAAATTTTGATCTGATCCAGCCAACTTGATACTAAAATATATTACCAGCAATAAAAATTTTGTCAGCATTAAATATCCCATTGAGGTTGATATGCTGTAAAACAAACCAAACCAATATGATTTCTTATTACTTAAAGGTTATGCTTTAGTTGATACATGTGCTTTGGTAGGCACCTTGTTCTTTTAAACAGAGAGAATCTTAATAACGAAAATGTGGCCTCTAGCAGTGTTCATATATATACTTTGAAGGAGAATTCAGGTGCCACTTCCCTATATATATATATATATATATATATATATATATATATATATATATATATATATATATATATATATATATATATATATATATATATAAAAGGAGGCATGGTGGAGTAATGGATAGCAGCTTGGATTGAGGAATCGTAGAGCCGAGTTCGAATTACAGTCGAATCCATTACATTCAATTACATGCTAATACCCTTGGGAAACGTATGAATCCTCTTCTTCTACCCAGCTATGGGTAAAATAGCAGGACAGACTGGGTTCTATAGCCTTGGATGGCAACTTGTCTAGGAGAAGGACAACTCTTCATTCAAAACCTGCGGAGGGTCATTTGGGAACCTTGTGGCACTTAGTGCACCAGGTCTCTGTATTCATCCCTACAAAAAGTGTGGATGGTCCTGCATGAGGACTTCACCACTATAATCGAATCTCATGTGTCGTTGTCGGGCTGTCGGTTTCTTGGAAACTGATCTGCTTGACCCTGATACGTCGAAATCGACGGGAGAGTCGACTATATATATACCTAATTTTAAAAATATATCTGCTTCCATATCACTTGAGGTCATAGATAATCATAGCCCTTCATAATTTCCTGCCCTTTGTAGCTTTTTTGTCTTTTATACATCCTTGTCTTTCCTTTTAAATTAAAGATTGCTTCTCATTTACATAAGACGAGACAGAAGCTCCTCTTTCGTAAATTTTCTTTTTTTTTCAAGGAAAGCTCATCAACATCTAAATTAAGGTTCATTATTTTGGGTATGTATACATAAAACCTCATCATTTTTTATTTTATTTTAGCATAAAGTCTGTCATCTTCCTTAAGGATAATGATATACTAAGCATAGCTTAAGTGGGACACAAGGCCACAAATAGGGAGCAATCACCAAAAACTGAACTCATTTTTTCTTCTTCTTCTTCTTCTTCTACATCCTGCATCCCTTCATGACATAGGCGATCATGGCTCTCCACAACTTCTTATCCCTTTGATAAGGCTCTTGCACCCTCTCTATTTTGCTATCTATTCACACAAGTTCATCAGGTAACTGGCTTGCTGCCTTCCCCTATCTTTCTTGTCTTCAATATGCCATGTGAAGGTTAAATTTTCCAAATCCTTCTTCCTCGGTCATATATATTATTTCTATAGATATAATTTATTTAAGTAAATGCTTTGTTTCTAATTAAACAGTATTAATTACATTTACTGGCAAGTGACCTTCGTAAAGAGATACGGAGATATCAAGGACTGTTTTGTGTAAGAATATTTTTTGAGAACATCAGATCAACTATTACGTTAAGGTTAAAGCATGTGGATTGATTTGTTTTTTTTATGGCTTATCAACCTTTTGCAGGTTATTTAAAGCCAGAAAATATTTTGGGAAATAATAATGTGATAATAATGATTTTAGTGATAATAATGGTTTTTGTTATATTCTGTGCTAATAGGAATATGGAATGGACAAACACGGCAGATAAATACTAACAAGTTTATAGTAGAAATCAGTACAACAAGCAAGGAAGTAATAATTATGCATACGGTCATTGCAAGTCAGTACAGTTGTGTGCGTGCTGCTATCGGAAGGCTGCTAGTCTTGCAGATCCCAGCTCGAGTCTCCTGTCCGCTGTCCTAACAGATACTTCTAGCTGGTTACCACCTATAGTGCCGCCACTCATGGGGGTGGCAGGTTATTCCATTACATCAGTTTTAATAAGACAAGTCTTACTAATTAACCTATAGATGGGGTAGAAGAGGTGGATTCATGCCTTTCCCAAGGGTATTTGTGTGTAAGTGAATATAACGAACCCAACTGGAATTGGAACTTGGCTCTTCAGTTTCCAATTCTGAGCAATTATTCATTACACCACCCCCATATTCATGCTTACAGAACCTGGTATTTCGTGTTGCTTAACTTCGGTAATCATATGTGAACTAGTGTTTTATGGTCGTAAATCATTAAGACATTTTATTTTTCTTAAGTTTTAAGGCTTTTAAAATTTATTAACTATAGAAAACCATTGAAAAAAAACTGTCATCAAAGTTGCTGGGAATGTATTAAAAATTTAGCAAAATACAGTATAATCATGAAATAATCACAAAACTTGTAACTTCAAGGGAAGAAAGCAGAGGCAAAACTGTAGTTCAAAACAAATATCTACCACTTATATAAACATGATTATAGTATCTAGGAGACGTAGATGACATATTTCAGTAAGCTGGGGTGTTGTTGGGTGATAGATAAGAATATTTCAAAATGAAAATAGCATTTATTCAAATCACTTGGATTTGTATTTTTCAACAAGTTAGGCTTTTAACATGAATAACTCAGATATGTCAGGCTTTCAAAAGTAGTGTCTATGTAATCACTGACCTTCTAAGTTGAAGCTAAAAGACATGTAATTGAAAAGAAAATTGACTTTTTATACAAGTATCTGTGATATTATACATACCATAGATAGTTGTGTAAAAAGTCAAGTTTGAGCAGGTAGAGAGTTGAATGTACATATTTCTATATTCTGTGTTACTCTAGATATAATATGACATTATATATAGGACACTTAATTTTTAAATTAAATTTCAGAAAAAAAGTTTGGTTGTTTTTGTTTATCAAATGTTGAAATTTAAATATGAAAATTCAAACTTTATAATTAATTCAAGAGAATCAAATTATTTCATAATTAAATTATAATTACTTACCTGCAATTTTTTTACAAATAATCTTACAAAATCAAACATGGAGTGAAAACTTGTCCATCTTGACAAGAAATGAGATTAATCATATTCGATCGTTTTTTATTTTTCTTGTCAATGTATGCCATGTTTTCAATTTTACTATAAAATTTACTGATGGTCATTCTACTATAAAATGTATTGTTGGTCATTTTACCGTAAAAATCTTATTATATTACTTAATTACTATTTTACTTTTTTCCTATATTACTTAATTACTATCAAAATTGTTGGTAATTTTGCTATAAAATGTATTGTTGGTCATTTTACTATAAAAATATTATATTACTTTTTTACTATATTAATTAATTACTATATTACTTAATTTCTATATTACTTAATTTCTATATTACTTAATTATTATAAAAATTGTTGGTCATTTTATTATAAAATGTACTGTTGGTCATTTGATATAAAATGTATTATTGGTTATTTTATTATAAAATATACTGTTGGTCATTTTATTATAAAATGTACTGTTGGTCATTTTATTATAAAATGTACTGTTGGTCATTTTGCTATAAAATGTATTGTTGGTCATTTTTATTATAAAATGTACTGTTGGTCATTTTATTATAAAATGTACTGTTGGTCATTTTTATTATAAAATGTACTGTTGGTCATTTTTATTATAAAATGTATTGCTGGTCATTTTTATTATAAAATGTACTGTTGGTCATTTTATTATAAAATGTACTGTTGGTCATTTTATTACAAAATGTACTGTTGGTCATTTTACTATAAAAATCTTACTATATTACTTTTTTACTATATTAATTAATTACTATATTACTTAATTACTATAAAAAATTGTTGGTCATTTTGCTACAAAATGTATTGTTAGTCATTTTGCTTTAGAAATGTTTTGTTGGTAATTTTACTATAAAAATATGTTTTTACTTATTTTGATTTTTGTTTGGGGGTAGTGGTCGTCCTTTGCCCATACCCCTATAGCTGTACCAGTTGCAGCATTCACCCAGTTGGTTGAGCCACCCTCTATCAAACAAACCTTGCTGCATCTGAACAAAAGCTGATCAATCATAACAGAAATCATATTTATTTGGATGTGTAAATCCATAGTAGAAGTTTCAGTGGGGATTTGGGATTCACAAGCAGTCCCCAGCTACATGTATACACACTTTTAGGATCGTGCAATCCAGTTTGAATTCAGAGTTTCCTTCTCCTAGACTGGTTGCCACCCAAGGCTATAGGACAATGTCTGTTCTGCTATTTTATCCATAGCTGGGGGAATAAGAAGAGATTTATTCATAAATTTCCCAAATGTATTAGCATATAAGTGAATGTAACAAATTCAACTTGAATTTGATCTTGGTTCTCCGATTACCCAGTCCAAGCCACTATCCATCACTTCCCCAGTCAAACATTATGATATCGCCACAGTTTTCACACAATTTATGTGACCAACAATTTCCTTTGTGATATTTTCACAAGATAAAACAAAATAAAAATAGTTTAACCATCCAAGTATTTATTTAGGCAACTAGCGTCCCAAGTTACTTAGCAGCAGGCTTTAAACTGGACATTTTTCTCCTTCTTGAGAACTGATTACAAGAAAGACTTCTTCCTTTTCCTCTTTCTTTCTTTTCTGTCCACTGTCCAAGCAGGTAGGTCAGGGGTTTTTGGACACTCAGTGTCCTTAATGAGTCAATTATTTTTTATAACAATAATAAAAGAAAATCTAGATCTTCCTGAGAGACCATAACACAATGTGGCAATAAAAATGCTTCATTTATTTTATTTTTTTTTTCACATAAAAGAGGAACATTTGCATTAAATACACAATCTTGACAAATAATGATTTATATATAAATGGTTCTTTATCTAAAACTATGGCTTACAGTCACATTATGTTGAAACACCAGTTCCCAAATGAACACCAAAGTTAAGCAATATCAAGCTTGGTCATTATCTAAATGGGTGACCACTTGGGAATACCAGGTGCAGCAAGATTCAATATGCAGGTAATGTAATAGATAATGGCTGAGAATCATTAATTGGAGAGCCAGTTTCAGTTGGGTTCATTATATTTCCTTATGTACATACAAATACTCTTGGAAAAAGTATGAATCCAGCTCTTCTCCCCCAGCTATGGGTTAATTAATAAAACTTGTAGCACTAAATCATTATTATCTAAAAAAATTCTTAAAAGCTTAAAATATTTTCTGGCTTTAAATAACCATCAATATAGAAAACAAATCAATCAATTAATTTGTAGTGTTTTCTTTTTTCTCATATTTTCTAACACTCAGTAACCTATTGCATCTTAGTGACTTTATTGCCTTGCTTGGGATGAAATGATTAAAAAAAACAGTAGATGTGATTTGTTGAAACAATGGTAAACTAAACAATAGTAAAGATATAGACATTAATCATATCAGGAGAAAAAATGAATGCACCCAACATGTGTAGTCCTGCTTAAAGAAGGAAATAGAAATAAATCAATATATCAGACAGTTAATGAGCCGAGTTCTAATTCCAGTTGGGTTCGTTATATGTTTGATAAAAAAACATGATAAAATCAGTTAAATTTAATCTTTTAATTTCCTCCTTGGTTTCATACAATAAAGATACATTTAAATTATTAGATTTTAGTCATACCAGAGATCATGGCTTATGTAAATTTCAGATGTGCATGACACACATGAACCCATGAGAAATAGAATGCCATTTTGTTTGTCCAGCATGTAGCAAAGTTGAACCCCTTCAGAAAATGCAGAAGAGGATGATAAAGTGAAATTGTAGCAGAAAAACACAATTTACTCATAGGAAGAGATAACAAATTAAAGTCAAATTTATACAATTATTAGAAAACATATATCTTTAACTACACACCAATTTTCATCTAGCTAAGTCACACACACACGGCACTATACTCAAAACAAACTTTAAAACAAACACAAATATACCGAGTGCTGGCCATTATCGATGTGACTCATGCTTGCTACAGATGTCAACAACTACGTCTGTGTGTCTCCTTTACTATATAAGAGAAGCCAGACAAGACAGAGAGAGCAGAGAGAGAGAGACTTCACACACACGTTAACCATAAAGGCTACCTGAGAGCATGGCTGACTGCCCGTCCAACCATTAGGCTGTGACAACAACCTCCTGTGAACACAGAAAGAGAACAATCTCCGCTATCACCACAACAAGCCCAAACAGAAAGCCAACAAACATTCAGCCTGTTTAAGCATTCTCCTTTTTCATGCTCTCATTTCACATCTCATACACCATACATTCGAACACTATACGACTTTCCAGAGATATTTTCATGTCTTGTAAATGGAAATACATCTTCGGTCATTTCTCCAAACCAGTGACTAATTTGTTTGTTTACTCCGACCAAACTTGGATCAAAATAGTGATAAGGATATTGCCCATGTTGAAGTTCAATGGCCCCAAAAGCTCAATTTCAAACATCAAAGCAATCATTATGCTTGACAAATGTTTAAATTGGTTGTGTGTTATGGTGACCTATCTACATTAGAATAAACTCTTCCTCCTTCATAAATACTAACCTGCGAGACTTTCTAAGCAGGCAGTCGGGACACAGTGTAACTTGATAGATCTTGATATATGGAGTTGTTTCTGTTATGGTGACCTATCTACATTAGAATGAACTCTTCCTCCTTCATAAATACTAACCTGCAAGACTTCCTAAGGAGGCAGTCAGGATGCAGTGTAACCTGACAGTTCTGACGGACACTTCTATCTGCTGACTAATAACACTCTTATTTTGTATATATGTTCAGTTATTTTAATACACTTGTTCAAGCTACCTTCTTCTTTCTGTGTCTTTCTTTCTGGCCCCTAACAGGCCACAACATTGTGCTTTCAACTAGACACTACCCTTACAAATACATCTAATTCAATTCAGCTTTGGGCAGAAAAAATGTGAGGTCAACCGAAAACAGATAAAAATTGACATATTTTTCATAAAAACGAAACTGGATGAAATCTTGAGCAAAGCATTTGAAAATGTTACTTGCTGAGATGAATGTTAAATTTCTTTCAGAAAATGACTTTTTTCTTCTTTCTTTTTTTTATTTAGATATTCTGTTATTTTTAGTACTTTTAACATTATTTGTGGATACCTATATTTGAGTAAACACTTTGTTTATTTTAAACAATATTTTATTTCTTATTAAAGAAAATGTGTCCTCTAGCAGGATTTGAATCTGCATCCTTTGCAAGAGGACACATAATGGATCTAATGATGCATTAGATCCAATATGCTTAAAATAATATTTAAAGTAATAAAAATGTTGGATTAATAAATAAAAATCCATTATTTCTTTTAAAAGTTTTTTTGCTTACATTTTGGATACAAAACTGAGCAGTTATGACTTTGAAAGAAATCTGAATGATTAAAATGTACTTTAAAAGGCAACATAGAATCTTGATTACAACACTCTTCATAGCCAAGAAGGTTAAAGCATGTTGGATCTAATCATGTTTTTTTCTGCAAAGCAGGACACAAGTTAAAATCTTGCAGGTAGGGGAATTTTCTTTAATAAGATTCCTTGATTATTCAGGCCAGTAGATGTCATAAAATAAACAAAGCATCTACTCAAATGTGGCTATCCACTAAAAATAACACTTGAAGTAATAAAAATATGTTAAATTAAACAATAAAAATCAATTTGTTTAGGTCTTTAGTTATCCAGAATTTTTAATTATCCAAACATATTTTTAAACTTCTGTCCCAAAGTGTCTGGACAGTTGAGGAAGTACAGAATTAATTTATCTCTTGTTGTAAGTTTTTGCCTGATATGCGGTGGAAAGCATTTTAAAAAAATATACAAGTAATTTTTATTAGACCAAGGAAATAAATGTTTAAAATCTTTTAAAATTACAAAAATAAATAAGAGAAATCTTTCATTCACCTTTGTTTCATTACATTAGTAATATAATTCCGAGAACTTAAACATGTTGTAATGGTTAGCAAGCTTGTCTTACTAGATCATTTATGACTGAATAGTGACTTTGATCCTCACTGAGTGGCCCATGCTTTCAGCCTTGTGCCACATCTAAGCTATGATTAGAAAACCTCCTTTGGGCACTTCAACTTAGTGTAATGGTTAGCAAGCTTGTCTTGCTAGCTCAATTGCAACTGAGTAGTGAGTTCGATCCTCACTGGGTGCTCCACGATTTCGGCCTTGTGCCATATCTAAGCTATGCATAGGAAAGGGCACCTCGACATGGTGTAATGGTTAGCAAGCTCGTCTTGCTAGATCAATTACGACTGAATAGTGAGTTTGATCTTCATTGGGTGCTCCACGATTTCGGCCTTGTGCCACATCTAAGCTATGCACAGGAAAGGGCACCTCGACATGAATGGTTAGCAAGCTTGTCTCGCTAGATTAATTACGACTGAATAGTGAGTTTGATCTTCACTGGGTGCTCCATACTTTCAACCTTGTGCCACTTCTAAGCTATGCTTAGAAAAACACCTTTGGGCACTTTAGTATGGTGTAATGGTTAGTAAGCATGTCTTGCTAGATCAATTACAACTGAATAGTGAGTTCTATCCTCACTAAGTGCTCCACACCTTCAGCCTTGTGCCACATCTAAGCTATGCTTAGAAAATGACTATTAGCAATATAACTCATGTTTAGATTTATTAAACAAATACATAAAAAAATTGACATTTTCTTAAATTATTACAGATATAACAACATGTCAAATACTAAAAACGCATATAAAAAGGAAGCAGATGTCAAAATTTCAATTGTACATTTAACTTGTGATTACAGTAAATATAAACTAGTAACATCCTACCAGCACCACCAACACTACCAAGTAGACACTGAATTTTAAACTATACTGATGGATGAGTCTTCTATCAAGGAGGCTTCTTGCCTTGAATGGGGAATTGTTCTGATGAACTCTCCTCTATGGTGCTCTATGAATTTAATCGCATTACTATAATGGCGGTAAGATCAAATCAATTTACAGTCAAAATATCTAGATGTAATTGTAATTTCAATGCTAACAGTTTCTTTTCTCACACTTCTCGCTTGTGGAATTCTTTTCTCGCTTCTTGCTTCCCAATCAACTTTGACTTTAAAAATTTAAATACAATGTCAGTCATTATTTTCTGTACTCTTAAATTCTGTTCTTTTATTGTTATCACTTCTTAATAATATTTTTCTTTTATTCTTTCATACTCAATAATCCCCTGCATCTTAGTGGCTTTGTGACCTTGCTTGGAGTGAAATGATTACAAAAAAAATGCTGGACAAATGGTCAGTTCCTCGTACCACTCTGGTAAGTATCTTACCAAGATACTTACCAGAGACCAACTATACTGAATACATAAAGGTGAATCATTCTCATTCTCTTAATATGCCATTAGTAAGAAATAAATTCCATTCGGACAGCTTCTTCCCAAAAACTGCTGCTTTGTGGAACAGACTCCAAGAAGAATGTTTTCCCAATCACTACAATCTTGACTTCTTCAAGTCTAGGGTTAATCATTAACATTCCTGTATAACTTCATGAACTTCACTTCTTACCCTTTCTTATGCCCATACAACACTACACAGTAACCCTCTATCTTGAGTGGCTGTTGGGCCTTGTAATAGATGAACATTAGTATTAAAAAATATTCAGAAGTCAATACTTACCTATGTTTTGTAGGAAAATTTATACAAATATGCACATAAAGAATAGAAATTAAGCATTTTGACCTCCCTCACTAAAGAACTTGTATTAGCCCACTAAAATTAGAATGAAAAAATACTAGTAAAAATTAATCAACCGAGTTCAAATTCTAGACTAGTCTGTGTTACATAGGAATAAAGTGTTGCTGCCGACACTTGAGTTTGAATATAGATCACCAATAAGGCGATCTCATTACTGAATTAAGTAGATCACATGACCATAGAGGAAATATATATATATATGGGAATTATCATGACAACTATTGATCGCTATTCCTAGTC